TGAGGGAGCTGATAAGTGAAATGGCCCTTCTTAGGAAATTGGACGTCGTAGGAGCAAAAAAACAAACATATTACTGTATTTAAGAATATTCCAAGAACATTGTGATAAAATATATGAGAGTACCAGTAATTGTGTCAGTCTGCTGTGTTATGACTGGGATGAACAGACAGCATGTACTGTGTTTCAGCTGAAGGGGAGGGAGGGAAGCAAAGCTGTCAAATGTTGAATTGACTGATGGTAGTTTGAATTTGTCTTGACGACGCTACCAGAGGAGAGACAGAGGGCAGGAAGGTCAGGAATGGGAGTTAAAAATAGGGATTTGAAGGAAGAAAAGGATCATGGGACCACGATGGTCAGCCTTTCTTTGTGGCTGGTTCCCAGAGGGAGATTCACTTGTGAATAAATGAGGAGTCTAACATCTAGAAAAAGCACTTTTTCAGATTGTTTTCACATCGTCAGCTTCATTTCTGGTCAAAGAACTTGCAGATTCACCCTGTTGTTGTAGTTAAGATAGTCTGCATGTTTTCTCTTCTTTCTGAAAAGGTGTCTGTGGAATCTGATATTTACCACTAATTAAAGTCTCATCTTTTTCCTCCTTCAGACGGATGCTGCTGGAGCCTGTCCCTCAGGAATTCTACGTGTGTTTCCATGACTCTGTGGCAGAGGTTCCCGTAGAGATGGCCTTCAGACTGTCCTTCGGTCTGGCCTTGTGATGACTCATCTTACTCTTATTAGATCAGTGACGATGACGGACACACAAACTACAACATTTCTTCAACTGCTGAAGCATTGTATTCTCAGGAAACAGTTCAATCTCTGGTGTTTGTGGGAGCCTAATCTTACCGGGGGGGCTACGTGGAGTCTGAATCTTGTGCCTCCATTTCACAGATGATAATCTGCAGATATTAGCAGAGCGTGACCGTTACAGCAGTGATAAGCAAATAGCAGGCTGCTTTCCTGGGGTTCAAACCAGTTCATTTCTGTGCTTTGTTGCGCACCAGAGATGTGTGCACAGGGCTTCACGTGTGTGCGTTTGTGCAGATGAAAAGCCACTTAATCAGTGAATACCTCAGACACTTTGGTGTAAATCTCTGATCAGACGAGAGCTTTCAGTGAGAACGTAACGTTTACAAGCTGCACCAATAAAAATGACACGTCTCCATGTTGACAGAGCAAATAAGTTTTTGATATTTCCACTTGTTGTATGCAGTGTTGGAGAGGCGTTTCACTTGTTACTTAATTTAAGATGTACAGTTTTTGTATGGAAATGGAGTCATTTGTTACATTTGAGATTAAAGAAGCAATGCAGTTTCTCTTTTATTCTTTCAAAAGACAATTAGCTTTTTGTTGATGACCTTTGTCAGGCTCTTAACATTATTTTCACATTGTTGACAAAATAAAATTAAACAATGCTACTCTTTCTCAGGACATATACAAAAATATTTGAGGAGGCTCCTCAGATGGAAATAATAAATATTGTGTGTGTGATGACTGGTACACACATTTTTATCTCTAAACATTTTACAACATACATAGTTGAATTGTGTAACCAGCATCACTGCAGGGAAAACCATTATTATTATTATTATTATTATTATGATGATGATACAGCCAATTAAAAAGTAGATTAAAAGTAAATCCACACTGGCACTCAGATTCTGAGTCCTGAAAAGATTTATGTTTAAAGTGTTAAGTTCAAATTATACCTCCCATGTCTGTTTAGCCACGGGCGTCCATGTAACGTAAACCGCCGTCACATCGCAGCGTGGTACAAACAGAACTATATCTGCGTCCATCTGAAATATGTTCGGCCCTGTTAAGCTCACACTGCACTCTGAACAAGCAGCAGGTTCCTCTTGTAACACTCGAGGCTGCAGAGGGGGACCCCGGTCTTTGAGCAGGAGTACTTCTTGAGGTTAGTGCAGCCGCTGACTCCGCAGTTTGCCTGAGCTGCCGGTGGAGGACAGGGAGGCGTCGGGGCAGGAGCGGGGACCCCTGTTGGGAAGGAGATGGTCAGGCCCTGGACAGAGTCGCTGTACCGGACCATGGGACATTGACTCATCTTGGACTTCCTGTCTTTCATGCTTTTGATCTTGGCCTTGCTGGTTTTCGTTAGTCTCTCTATCGTCTGATTCTTGTTCTCTTCTGCCTTCTTGGCGGCCTGCAGGCGCCTCTTTCGGGCCCGTTCCTCCCGCTTCTGCATCATCTCCGCGGTCATCTCTTTCTCCTTGTAGCCCATGGGGAGCTCCAGGAGAGGCTGGCTCTGCTGCTTGTGCAGCAGGGCTTTCTGAACATTAACAGAAACATACACCCAGGGATACATGTTATGGCATCATTGAGCATCAACAGGGAACTGAAGTACATTTTTCCTGCTCCCGTCTCTCCTCCTCACCTGTCTGGCTGTCAGCAGAGACTCGTCGACCTCCTTCTTCAGCTCCCCGTTGTCGTCCAGCTCTCCCTTCTCCAAAGCGTCCAGCCATCGCTCCTCCTCGTCCACAGGCCTGCTGGGCATGGAGTCTGAGTCCATGTCCGGCATGGGGGACGTGGCCAGGTTGCTGTCTTCATCTGATACAGAACAAAAAAAGATAAACATGATGCATTTATTGTCCAACCAAGGCCGGAAAATTGTCATGAGCATGGTACGACATGGTACACGACGATATGAAGTTAGCTTGTATTCAGTGACCGTATTGATTTAAATTGAAGAAGATTGTAAAAATCACAACCATTTAAAGATTTGTCTCCAAATGCTTTGTCTGCCATCCATAATAAATCACTATACGTGTATCACATACAGACATCTTGAAAGTTACAGAACAGTAATAAAAGATACACGATGTAGACATGAGTTCGCTCGCAGATTGTTGTATTTAAAAGGCTTTTTGGAGGCCAAAAGAAGTATGCTGTATGTCACAAGAAAAAAGAAAATATAATAAACATTATTTTGCTATATAGAATTTATTATTGCTTTCAAATCATCTTGTGATCCTCTAGATTGACCTTTCGGCTCCACGTGGTGTCCCGACGCAGAGACTGGGAACCACATGGTAAAGGTAGTGATTGTTTGAATCAGTAAGCTTGAACATTATTCAGCAATTTGGCATTTATATTAATGCAACCTTTCAGACTGAGGAAAGGCAACATAAAAGCCCAGATGATCTCTCCACTAACAATAGGACAAACCATATACGGGCTCTATTTGTAACTTACCTAGCCAGGCCCGATACTGCTCCAGCGGCACAGAGGGCTCATCGTCGTCCTCATCGTCATCTTCATCGTCTTCGTCGTCGTCAACATCATTATCAATGATCATCAAAGGAGAGGGAGGACAAGCCACACCAGGATGCACAGTGAAGGTGGGAACGCTGAAAGAGACGAGAGGAAATCAGAGGCAGATGCAATAACCTGATGCATTCACTGACAAACTGACAAGCTTCAACGTCCCGCCTCACCTCTTGGTCCCCAGTGTCTGACCTCCCAGTTTGATCTTGAGCCGGAGCTGCGGAGGAGGCCGAGGAAAGACGACAGGCTCGGGCTGCGGGGCCTCCGCGAAGTTGTGGTGCTTTCTCTTGTGCTTCTTGTGTTTTTTATGTTTGCGCTTGTGAACGCTGTGCAGGCTCGAGTTGCCCTCACCTGCAGAAGATGAGAGGGAAGCACAAATAAATATAGTCCTACAGAGGCACCTACTGTGTGTCCAATAATAACATTTATGAAACAATAACATTTTGCTACTGATTTGTTAAACTACAGATCTTTCACAAAAAAAATGCATTAAAACCAAAAATAACTGATGTTGCTCTGAACACCAGACACTGGGAACAGAGTCAGTTGATGGTATAATGAAGTGATTTTCCTGTACACCCAGTTTATTAGGTACACCTCTTGAAAACAAATACAACTATCTTAATCTACTCAATTTACCTCCTTTTATCTTGTGTTCTACTGTAACTTACTGTACTTTTTTTCCTCCATTTTCTTTTTTCCTCAGTGTTTTAATTTTTAATTCCTTTAAAAGTCCAAATTAGCAATTGCTAAAAACACTATGATGCACACATTGGATTGCTGTTTGATGGTCTGCCTATGCAAGCTGTATCGGTCCCTAGTGAAATAAACCATAAATAAATAAACTGTGCTGCAACACATTCAACCTTTATGAAGATCATGATGTTTCAGAGAGGTGTTGGTTCCACTTTATGGTCATCATGGAGGTTGTTGAACTGTTTGTTTTCCAGCCTCCTCTCCGTAGTGATATATAAACGGGGTGGACAGGGAAAGAGCAATTAAATGTCAATACTCGTGCATACTCACCAAGGAACCTGGGGTGAATCATGTCTTTCCTTTTCCCCATTGAAACGGATGCAGACACCGAGGACAGGACAGCCAGTCCGCAGCTCTACATAGCAGCAGAGAGCTCTTGTTGAAAACAGACCTGTCTCTGCAGAAGAGAAACACACCTGAACTTAATGCAACATTAATGAAGAAAAACAATAGTTAACGCTCATTTAACTAAGAACATTCAAAGCGTGTTTCTCCTTTTGTAAACATGTTAACGAGAGCATATACTCTTTATTTTAATTACTAAGCTAGATAACGTTAAGGTTAATTAGGAGGAGCCGTTAGCTTTAACGTTACCTTATTTAGCCGGTTAATTCAACTTTTAACGTTACAGCTAACGTTAGAAGTACCATACCAGCAAATTAGACATAAGTTACGGGCTTGAATGGGGACAAACGTGGCTCCGTCTGCAAACCTGGAGCAAATTTAACCGCAGCAAATTAAAAATTAAACTAACGCTACAGTTTGTCCCCTCGTAGTTAGCACGACTAAGCTAACAACACGGAAGTTCACCAACCGTTACGTCACTTCCGGAAACAGTCTGAGTCTGGTTCTGGTTCTTCTTCTTCTTCTTCTTCTCTGGGTTTTATGGCGGATCGCAAGCAACTTGTTCAGGTGCATACCGCTACCTTGACTTCTGGTTGTGGAAACCATCAGGAATTACCGGTGTTCTGACGATTTAAGCTGTCTTCCCGAAAAATGCTACCGTAACGCATGAGTCTATCGAGTCGCTCTGCCCTGTCGAAAAATGCTACCTTATGTGTTGCCTTTTTCAGGTATATAACTCTCACAGTATTTTTGACATCGTCTATTTTTTGATTATATTATGACACCATTTCAGGGGTAGCGTATTCTGATAGACTAATATCCCGTATCAAATAATGCTCTAACTACAGAATAATTTTATAATGCACCACTACTCACTCCATGTGTACGGAGATGGGGAGCATGTTGAAATACTATATTATGCCATCTTTATTTAAGATATCAGGGGTAGCATATTCTGACTAGTAATGATTTGTTTTCTTTTTCTTTTTTTTATGTTACTGACGGTCAGCCATTTTCTCGACGGCATTCCCAACAGCAAGGTTGCACAGATATTTGGCGTGGAAACAGACCACGCTTGTGGATTATACGCATGCGCAGAACTACTAAGTAGCACATCTCGATAGGTAGCATAAATCGTCAGAACCCCGGCCGTAACAGCGGTAATGATTCACTGCCATTTTCTAAATGGTTGGATGTAACTAGTTATATGACACCGATATAAACAGTAAAATATAAAACAAAACTTAAGCAAAGTAATTTCGTAAATGGCTACAATTGTGTTTTTGTTTTACATCTTGTTTAATCTAGTTTATACAACCACGATAACACATATTAAACGTTATGATGTCGGCGTGTCAAGAAATACATTAACCAGAAGCCCCCGGGGCGGTCACGGCGAGATGAATGCAAGGTCACGTACGTTCAGTAACTGAAGCAGCTGAACCGCGCCGAACGTGGTCGAGTAAAATACCGTAACTACCTTTAAATTTATAAAATATATTCGGTATAGGTTGTGCTTACTTGTCCATTGTAGTGTTAGCTGTAGTGTTGTTTTACATTAATCTAACTTACAGTACTGATGCAGGTTAACTTAATGTACCGTTATGATTTCTGTTGTGTAAGCAAAAACCGCAGTCAGTCTGTCTGCAGGCATGTTGGAACTAGGAATTACTAGGATTATTTTTGGTTGTCTTTGATCACGCAGGATTAATTTAATAAGCGTTTCTTTTGAAACGGGAAGTTACGGAATTAGGAGACACAAACACAGACCTGATGCATCGATCACTGACATTAAGCTACAGGTGGAAGATGAATAAATAAATGAACACATGAAACTGATTTTATTCTTTCGCAGGAATCATGAATTACGCTCGGTTTCTGACTGCTGTCAGCGCCGCCAGAAAGCCCTCTCCCATCAGGATGCTGAGTGAGTAAAGGCCTGCTACTGGCAGTCTGGGTTTCATAACAAGCTGAACATAGTTAGATAGGTTTCATCTCAATAAAACGCATGGACAAAACGCATTTTGAAGACACCATCTTTAGCTTTAGGAAACAATGGTCTATACAATAGTGTGTACATCTGTAGACCAAACTATCAATTGATTATGGAAACAATTTACATATTAATCAATAATTTAAATAAATATTAGTTTCATCCCAAGATTAAACACATAATTGTTACAGCAATATAAGCTGGGACCCTCTGCAAGATCAGATAATAAAGCAGGGCGTACTATGTCGAGTGAAGGTTTAGTGGTAGATATTGTCTAACAGATTTAAGTAACACTGTACAACACTGTAGGTTATAGTACAATTTTCCACACAAGGATCTTATCGTCATTGTAACCTCAGTGTGAGAAGCCAGTCCTCATGTGCTCTGTCTCCACCGGCATGAAGCCGAGCTACAACAGCAGTCGCCTCCGTCTCTGATCTCTTTGGCTGGAGGAGCGCCCAACCCCAACACCTTCCCCTTCCTGTCAGCGTCCATTAAGGTGAAGAACGGACAGACGGTCACGTTTGACGAGGCGGCGATGAAGAGGGCTCTGCAGTACTCTGCCTCTAACGGGTGAGAGGTCAAGATCTATCACTTCTATTTCACGAGATTCTCCAGAACATAAAAGATTATTTCAAGATGTAGTAGGTAAAGTTCTTAAGGTTATTAATGAAAATGCATCTTGTAAGCCTGAGTGGGGCTGCACTTTGGGAAATTAAGAATTAAAAACAGACCTGAACAGCAGAGAGTGCCCTGTACAGGAGCCAGCTTTAAAGTTTAATAGTTAGAAAGTCTGGACATTAAAGACCTTTTTTTTGTCAACTTCCCTTTAAATTAAATCATAAAAGTGTGCAGCAGCGTATGGAGGTTATCATTCTCTGGTGACCTTTATCTTTTATACGACTACTTCTGTAAACTTCAAAGCCTCCAGTGACTCCACCAGCCGAGTCCAGTGGTTTTTCTTATCTTCGATATTTATTCAGTGATAATAGATATTATATATTATATTGGGTGTCCAGGGATTAACACGCCGACCATTAACTGCACCGTCAGGTTTGAATCCAGCCGTGGACGTCCCTCATTTCCTGCAATCTCTCTCTACTATCGCTGTTGAATACAATAAAATGCCTAAAACATAATGAGTATCATACACCAACATGCCCGAGTGTATAGCTTTTGGTGTTCAGATCTCTCTGCGGTGAACTTTTGGATCTACACTTTAAACTTATCACAAGTCAATCTAACAGTTTGGGCGGTAGTATCCTGTTTCTGGAGTTTTATGTCGATAAACCTTTGTGTAGGTGAAGGCCTTTCCTTTCTGTTCAGCTGTGATAGCTAATCGCTAAATTACTCAGTATTCTCACAAAACCTCCCCAGCAACAGCACCCAAAATCTATAGTATATTAAGTTATTACTTAAGTTAGTTATTAATTATTAAGTCTAATGTGAAGTCATTTCCATTCCTACGTAGACTACCCGAGCTGCTGACGTGGATGAAGAACCTGCAGAAGAAGCTCCACAACCCGCCGACCGCCGGCTACCCCCCCGAGAAGGGCCTGATGGAGATGTGTGTGACCACGGGGAGCCAGGAGGGGCTCTGTAAGGTGCTGACACCACCAGCTGCCACGCTGCTGTTTGTGCAGCCAGCTGTTAGAGATAACATAAAGACGTTTGTGTCAGCCATTTTTCTGATCTGGAACAGGAAACTCCTCTTTAACAGCTTAGTACTTCATGACCTTTCCTAATATTATGTCCACTACAGAAAATCATGCATTACTTCTGTTGGGTTATTTGAATTCATTTAGATAAAGGCATAATGTGTTTCCCACCTGTGAAGAAAAACAGACTCTCTGTACAAGACTCGTACTTCAGGTATGGACCGTTCAAGAAGTTAATTTGAACCTGAGAAAACATTTGCCACAAATTCTCTTAAATCGCTCGTAGGTGCCACTTAACAACACATCTCTCCGTACGACTTGTTCTGGCGTGAGGCCCATTGATTCCCAACATGTCTCTGCATCTTGTGTGTTTTAGGTATTTGAGATGCTGGTCAACCCTGGAGACAACGTTCTGCTGGATGCACCCACATATTCAGGCACGCTTGCAGCGGTGAGAGCGCTGTCTTTACAACAACTACACACGTTTACAGATTTACGCAAACGTCCGTGACCCTCTAACTTTCTCTTGTCCTCCGTAGCTCCAGCCGCTCGGTTGCAACTTAATCAACGTCCCCAGCGATCAGCACGGCATGATACCTGCAGCCCTGAAGGAGGTTTTGTCGCGGTGGGACCCCTCAGAGGTCCACGAGCCCGGCAGCACCGCTCCCAGGATCCTCTACACCATCCCCAACGGTGGAAACCCCACCGGGGCCTCCATGACGCCTCAGAGGAAGCAGGAAGTGTATGATGTGTGTCTCCCTTGCAAAGTCACAAAAGAAAAGACTCAGAAATGTGAAATGAAAGTTGCAGTTTTATGAAGCTCTTCCACAAGCAGTCAGTGAACCGCTGGCTCTCCTCATTAGAGCTTGTTGTCATTTTCTGTTAACGTCTTGTTAACAGCTGGCCAGGCAGTATGACATGCTCATAATCGAGGACGACCCCTACTACTTCCTGCAGTTTGACAAGGTACAGAAAGAGTTCACTCGCCTCCTCTGTTGGTCAGAGAAAGTTACTCTTCCATCATTTGAAGAGCTAAAATCGGTCAGCTGCTCTGTGGTCTGATCTCAGCGCTGATTCATGTTATGCCTCATTTGTTTGGCAGCCGTGGGCTCCCACATTTCTCTCCATGGACGTTGACGGGCGGATCATCAGGACAGACTCCTTCTCTAAGATCCTGTCTTCGGGGTGAGCGTCTGAATCAGGGTGTGCGATGATTTTACCATTTTGGATTATATTGACTCTGCTACAGCTCGGTGTCTGTGAAATGGAAACAGGGTGTGTGTTCCCAGTCTGTCACACAGTTTACTTTGCTTGTGTAATTCTCCACTGATGACAGCTGCAGGATACAACTGATGCTTTTCATCTGTAGGAAAGTAAATAATCTGGGGCCCAAATACACAATGTGGCCAAAAGTATATGGACACCCGTGTCCATTGACTTTGGTCCATTTTTGATCTGTGGTTTAGCCCATTAGTCCACTTAAGAAAAACATCTTAATACTGCACCATACAATATTACTGACAATAATGTGCTTCAAACGTTGTGTATATTAGTGTTTATTTACATTAAACATCACCTAAGTCATCTTTTAATTAATTTCCCTAACCTGTCATGATCATAGTTATTGCTGTTGCTTGTATTAAGCACATTTATTTTGACTTTGAATGTTCAAAATGACACTAAAAACAATCTGCATCCTATTTTTTTTAACATATATACCTGTCCTGTCACATTTACATTAATGAGCATCTTAAACTATAAGATCACATCCTAAAAATCAGATGTTTGACATAATCATAACAGCTTTGACTAGTTGCAGGTGTAGTCGTGAGCAAGAGAATGAGTTAATACGACCGGCTGTATTTTTTGTTGAGAAGTTTTTTTGAATGTCGGTATGGATAGCCAAATCGGAATCAGAATCTGCATTTATTTATTTAAGCTTTACTTTCCTTGGTTAGTCTTGGCGTGGGAGGCATTTTAATGCGTAACTGCACCAGCATGTTTATGTCTCTGACTCCTTGTGTGTGTTACTGTTTCAGGCTGAGGATGGGTTTTGTGACCGGCCCCAAACCGCTGGTAGACAGGGTGGTGCTGCACATCCAGGCCTCAACAATGCACACAAGTACCTTCACGCAGGTAAATGAAACCTTAATTTTACACACACACACCCAGCTCAATCAACATTTAACATTACTGGTTTGGTTGAAAACAGCTTCCTGCTTTCTTGCTTTGAGGACTACTGAATGAATGTAGTTTGAACGAGGATAACCTCCTCTTAGCCTAAATCACCTTTCAATGATGCTGCTTTCTGTGTGGCAACCTCCATCAACTTGGCATCTAAATTGGCAAAAGAAACAAAACATACATAAAAGCACAACACAAGATTAGAAAATGCTGTTTGATCCTGACAAACATGACACTTCATCATGTAGACCAGCAGCAGCAGTAAGCACACAGCAGGGTGCTTCAGCTATGTACTCTGTCAATACACGCAGTGCCAACAATGAAGCTGTCACCACTCTGCCAGCTTGCGTTGCCAGCACCCCTCAGGCATGGCAGATTTGCATCAACGCAAACTCACCAGCGAGAAGGGGTGTGTCGTTACACTACAACCAAAACAAAATAAGACACTGCGGTGTGTCTGGATCAGCAGCAGCTGCAGAGGAAGTCATAATGAGGAAGACGATTAATTAGGATCCGCTGTAATCCTCCTGGTCTGGTTCAGTCCTCACCTCTGCTTTTTCTTAATTTAGACTAAAATGAATGCACGTACAAAATATTTAATGTGACAACAAAATTGAAACATGATGTGGCCAAAACATTTAAAGTTGTGAAAGAAAGAAGTGTCGCGCTCCATCTGCACTGTACTAATAGGTCAGATCTGAAGGCGGCTTATCTGCTGCAGGGTCATTTTACTGTAACATAACAGTTGCACATGAGTCTGTGTCATGACATTATGTAACCTGTAACCTGCTACCTTTCAGCTCATGGTGTCTGAGTTGTTGCACAGCTGGGGCCAAGAGGGTTTCCTTCAACACATAGATGGGTACGGCACTTCCCACATTGCTGCTGTACAGCCACATCTGGTCCGCATGCCTGGTTTGACTGGTTAGGAAAGCAATTAGATCTGTTTATGACACCTACAGGGCCAGTAGAGGTAGACAGCCACTCTTGCAGCGATGCATGAAACTGTTTTCTCTCTTCTCACAGGGTGATTGAGTTTTACAGGAAACAACGTGACGCCATGATCGGCTCTGCAGACAAGTGGCTCAAAGGTTTGTGGACTCATGTCAGTAGCTTATAACCAGATTTAAAAAAAGGTGGATGGACCCGTCAGCAGCTAAATACTTATGTAATGTCGCAGAAAGATCTGGAAAACAACATTGAAGACATTGTGAAGAATTTCTTGTCAAGCGAAAGTGTGAATTATTATGATGCTGTATGCACTTCAAAGTGCCTTAAAGCAATTTTTTTTTGTTTGTTATATTATTGAAAATGCTTTTTGTACTGCTATGTGTTATTATTCACTTTTAGTTTTGCCTGTTTAGTTTCTATTTATTTGACCTATTAGAGTAGGGGTCACAGTCCGTTTGGGCATGTTGACAGATATAATGTCACTGACAAAACAAAAACAGACATCTGTAGTCAAAAGTTGTCTTGAGTCACACACCAGTATAGTTTTTCTTTTAGACCATTTAAGGAACTAAATGTTAAGGCATTTCCACTTTTAGACAAATTCCTTCATGTCACTTACAACAACAACCATCACCACTAGCGTACTACTTTAATAGACGATGTGGAGTCCAGATTAATTAAATTGCTAAGAATTTGTAGAGGCAGTGATGTAAAAAACCACAGAAGGGAAATCGTGACTGTGTTATGAGTCAGAAAGCAAACCCTGAGGCTTTTGTGTGTGTGTGTGTGTGTGTGTGTGTGTGTGTGTGTGTGTGTTTGTGTGTGTGAGAGAAGATGTTGCGGAGTGGCATGCTCCGTCGGCAGGCATGTTCCTGTGGATCAAACTAAAGGGCATAGCCGATACCCAACAGCTGATTATGAAGAAAGCCTTGGAGAAAGAGGTCAGCACACAACTCAATCCTTTCCTATTTCAGCATAAACCCTCACAAAATAATCTCTTTTGTGATTTATTATGGAACAAAACCCAATTAACTCTGTCCACTGAAGGTTAATACGCTGATAGCAGGTACCCAGAATGCATTTCGGTGCTTTTTTGTGTGTGTGTGTGTGTGAGCAGATGTTTTGCACCAGGGTCAAGGCAGGGTTTGTGTCTGAAAAGAGTGTAGGCGTGCTCTCTTTAGACATCCATGGTGTAGGATGGTGCATGTAAAGCGGCCATTATGCGCACTGTGAGTGGGTTTTCCCTCCCACACACACTCGCACACAGAGGGTTTGTAAAATAGCTGATTAGCCGTGTTTAAATAGGAGTGGGTACAATAAGGCTTTTCCGAGGTCTGCACAGTAGGCGTCTCTCCACTGAGTCCAGGATATTTAAAACTTCCACACAGCAGATAGTAAAGACTTCCTGGCTTCTGTTTTCTGTGCTAACAGAGGAGAAACACGACGACACCTCAGATTTGAAGTGAATTCCTGTGCTTTATCTTTCCCATGATTCAAAGCTGCAATAATTTCCATCAACTCTCTCTCAGACGTTGATTATGTCCTTCTTATTTTGCATTGTCCTTAAAATGTTACATTAACACGAACAACCGCTGATTAAAAACGACCAGAGGATTTATCGACGATGTATCATTCTCTCTTGTGTGAAAAGATTAGCTCTGTAAGAACTAAGAGAAAAGCAATGGAAACCTTAAGTAACATGAGGTGTGTGTGTGTCTGTGTGTGTCTGTGTGTGCACATGCTCACTAAAGGTGCTGCTGGTTCCTGGAGGCGTCTTCATGATCAACAGCAGTGAGCCCTGTCCCTACGTCAGAGCAGCCTTTTCTCTCTCCACACCAGAGCAGATTGATGAGGTATACACACACATGCACACGCACATGCGCGCACGCGCACACACACACCTTAACTGACTCTAAACTTTCACACGTCTTCCAACAGGCTTTCAGAAGACTCTCTTCTCTCATCAAAGAAGCTTTGTGATCAAAGATTTATTTCCCCCGGGGCAAATGCTGTATTTTTTTAACTTGGACTTTTATGTTAAAATATATCATCAAGTATGTTTTAAAATTGTGTAATCTCTGACTGTATCTATACCACAGTCAAGAGGAGACAACACTTTCTTCCCCAAATGTTTTTATGGGTGCATGTTCAGTCAACATGACTTGCTGCTTATTTGGAGTTTTAGAAGGAAAACAAACACAGTCATTGACTTCATTGTTTGTTGCTCCTCCGTTGCACTACACAGTGAAGATGTCTGTATCTCATCATGCACAAAAAAGTAAATACTAACTTTTTTTAAAAATCACTGTTTTGTCTTTTGAGTCTGTATCTTTTTGCAAAGTGCAAAGTGTGTGAGTTCTGCTCCACTACAAACCTTAAAACACGGTGACACCTGATAACCAAATGATTCCAGTGTAGGCGTGGTTATTCAAAGATGGGGAAAACTTGCTGAGGGATACAGAGGAACAAATGCACCACTTGTATTAGCTGAATGTGTATCGTCTGTGGTCACTGTTGCTCCAGGAGACATTACAACAAATTCACATAGACTTTACAGCAACATAACATTTCTGTTAAAGTGTGAAGATTTGTTGTCGTCTTTTTCATCATTATTGCACAGGTTTAGTGATTCAGAGCCATCCATCTCATTTGGGGTTTGCTTTATTGCAATCTGGCCAGGCGCAATAGACATGATTTGGTGTCATTTCAAACAGGTGGTACAAAGGATGACTGACAGTCTTCTTAATCGTCATGCACTCTTCTGTACTTGACTGGACAAATTTATCTTTAGATGTTGCTAACTCTAGCGACACGTATCCGGGGGTTATCACTGGCACGACAGTTGAAACACATCGGTTCCACAATTAAGGGGTTTGAGCAACTTAGCACTTCTCTGTGCACAGACCTCATTATCTATTTTCTGTCCAATATTACCTGTCTAATAATTAATGTGCAATATTCTCTGCTGCTATTTATTCACTTGTCCTTTTTGGTTCACCATAATAATTCTTAATAATGTAAATATTGTAAATACCCACACACCTTTATATTTGTCTTCATTTTTTATATTTATACTATTATATTTATATACTCTTTATCTATCTACCTTTGAAAAGTGCAATTGTGACAAAAGGATTTCCCCTCGGGGATCAATAAAGTATTTCTGATTCTGATTCTGACAAAGTAGGAGCCAGAAACTTCTTCTGATCGGCCTGTGCTTATAACCTTGTAACTGCATAACATGCGGCACCTCATCTGGAAATGTAACGCCAACATTTAGAAAGCATGTCAGTTTCTAAATAAATCTCAGGGGAGAATTGGGTTATGCATTTGAAGAGCTGTCTTCATTTTGTGCAGGTGTTTTGAGAAGTTCCATCACATCTAAACCGACCCATATACTCTGGGTTTAATTGCGCTTAAGATTTCGTTTTTATTGGTCACAAAAGATAAAAAAAAAACATATTGGCAGTTTTATGTAATGGTCTCAAAACTTTTCAAACCAACATTTACATTAAATTTTACAACCTGACTTACGGCTGAGCTAAACAGTCAGCTGGTGTTCCCCTCTCTTTCTTTCCTGATGAGTTTGGAAAAACCTCTCTCCATATTTTATTCTTAAACCTGCGTGTTTAGCGGTCACATAACAGTGCCTGCTGACTGGAAACTGTTTTCTTTTCCTTTGTACAGACTTTCTCCCTACTGTGTTAATGTGTAGAGCTTTGTGAGCAGTGTGACCGAGCTCTCAGAAGTGTTTGTGTAAACATTCATCCCTAAAGGAGAACGGGGTCAGAGGGGAGGGCTTGAAAATCAGGCTTTTGCAAGACTTCTTTACTGTTAAGAAATATTTTACAGTCCTCTCGTAAAGACTGCAATTTCACCATGTGATCCTATCCTGACAGCTGCATTTAAAATTTAACCTTAGTAATTTCTACTTGGGGAGTTACAATACAAAGCAATGTGTCATATTTTATGAGTTTGTCCATTGTTCGAATGTAAAACTTTAACGCGAAACTGAAGTAAAAGTACCATATTATTTCCCTCTAAATCAAATTAAATTTAGTGCAGACAAAGTATAAATTCTCACAAAATGGAAATAAGAAAGCACCAGTCCCTCTCAGGTCAAAGTATCCAATGTTTTTTTCTGAGCCAAAGATCGAAAGTGATGACTTTTAACAAACTAAAACACAATTATTGACAGTGGCTGTTTGCTGTGAGTTGTCAACTCTTATTGATAAAGAGAGTTTCATGAAACAGAGCAACATTTATTAAATTTCAGACAAGGAGAACAGCAACAGGAGGCCAAAGTGACAACACCGTGTAATGCCAAAAGAAGATCCCATCCTGGTCCACAATATTTATCCCTTTACTGTCGCTATGGAGCCCACAATGTACCTCCTACATTCTCTGCTGGCCTAACTATGTGTAACCATCTTATTGGATGTTCAACTCTAATGCTTTACCTAAGTCACGTTCGAATTAGGAGGTCACATGTATTACAATCTAAGGAGAGAATCTGTCAACATCTAAGACAGCAGAGCACCGTATCTCTCGTCCTTGCCTGTCTAGGCAACGTCTCGTTCTGATCTACCGAGCTGTCGTCATGCACCCAAAGAGAAAGACAGCAGTATGAACCATTGCAAGAGAGACAGAGATCATTCTGTTTCTATCTCTGCAAGCAAGACATGTGAATGACATGTACTTACTACCAACTCCTAGCCACCTTGGTCCTCTCAGGAAAACTCCTTCACACCTTGATACAGTGTTGATTTCAGACTTCTTTTATGGTTTGGTAGTAGAGGGTGGCGGTCACATGTACTTGACATGACGCTTCAACCTCTTTGTAGTGAAAATACAGTGTAAAAATAAATAAAAATTATCTACTGTCGGTGTGTTTGCTGTGTTGCGCTACTGTCCCGCTGTTCATTGAGGGGGTTTGTTATTTACGACTCTTACTTTGCAGCAATACCAACATGCACAACAACTGCGTGACAGGGTAACACAAACTCAGTGCTTCAGCTTACATTAACTGCGTCAGGCTGGGATCTGGTTCGGAAATAAAAACAGAATGCCTGGTGGGATCGGGTTTGGCTCGGTAGGTTTCGGACAGAAATATGTGGCCCGTGCAGGGCACAATTTGGTAGGGGCAGGCGCTAGTATAAAACCATTATGTTGTGAATAACAGTTTTCCTTCAGGATCCAAAAATGAGTTCGGTAACAAAAACAAAAAGGAAAGAATAAAAAACTTTGCTCCTGACCAGCAAGTTAGACCTGAATTTGCGAAAACAAAGTGCAAGTGAAGGTAACCTGAGGGTTACACAGCCCGTGTGTTCATGGGAACAAAGAAGGGTTCAAACTGTCTGTACACTTCATAGGTGGCATAGAGGCGGTAGTGTCTGAGCAGACATTTGAGGCCATGTCTGGGCAGACTAATAACTACTCTACGCATATTTACATACATGTATCAGTACACAAATCATGACCATTGCAGGTAGACATTTGATTAATCTGTACACCGTCCTTTGCTGATCTTCATTATTGATGGCAGCATTGAATAACCAAAGGGAAACTTGAAAGATGAAAGGAAAAGAGGGAGAGCAGAAGGAAAGGTGGATAGCGGTTATTCAGACTTGCTCCTTGACAGGATTAAGCTAGTCCTGTTGAATGGCTGCTGATTGATGCATGGAAGCGTGGCTGGACAAACAGGAGGGAGTCCAGTTCAGCCTGCAGCTTCCGAGTGTGCTTGTGCATGATGTGTACCAATTTCTGTGTTGATTCAGAGACAACAAAAAAAGAGATAACACAGGCAGTCCTGATGCAAGCTGCAGCTCAGCTTGATGGCTACACTGCAGTCACATTGCTGTTTGACGTGGCGACATGGCTACATCTCAACAAAAGAGGGCTATTTACCTAAGCACGTCAAGGATGGCAGACTGTGGCTTCCCAAGCAGTGGATGGTATAAGATACGAGCTCTTGTCATTACACATGTTAGCATTATAGCTATTCAAGTACACTCTAACCTCCAAGACTGGTGGATAAGACCAGCGACCGCATCCTGCAGGGCTGGGTCGGCTGGCTTTTGGGGAGCCTCAGCTCCTAGCTCACAAAGGTCTTGGTGACTCATTTCACCAACATAACCAAGATAATAAAAATATTAATAAAGATGAATTAATAGGAGTGTGTTTGGTAGCACCAAAAGAAAAACAGTGTGCTGTCAACAGCTGAGTTACACCTGCACTTAGGAAAAACAAACTTCAGCGTTCAAAGGGAAACATCTCCTGTCGCTCAGTCTTTTTAAAGGGTTCAGCGAAGTTATTTCCGCACCTCTGGGGCTTCTGCACATCTGTGAGGGCTTGGCTAATAAGCGTGAATTACAGGGAATAGAGATTTTGGCACTTTCTCTTTGTTTACAGGCTTTTTGTGTTACATGCAGGCCGCTTTGTTTGGCTTCTGGCCTACATGTAGGCCTCTTCTTTGTCTCCATAAAGAGAGGCTCCAACATTTCAAGTGTTGCGTGGAGGGGAAGGGAATGGGTTTTCACCACAGTCCATTTACCTGTCACTGTGAGCCATGTCTTAATGCAGACATCTGCTTACTGCACCACTAAATTAAATGTACTTACACATTACCTTTGTGTAAGCAAGGTTTAAAAGCCCATCATTCTTTGTAGTGGTGGAAAAGTGGGAAGCTGCCCAGACCCATGCTGCTGTCAACCTCGTGGGAGCGTGAAGGCCAGACTACACAAACTGATGACAGAAATACAAATTAAAGGACAAAAACCCACAAGAAGTTGTCACCCAGCTCAGCTTTTTTCTTCTTTTTTGCATGTTTGGGCTCAGTATTTTCTAGGTTTTCTAACTGTCCAGCATTAAATGGCAGTTATCACAAACAGGAGTCAGTTAAGACCAATTCAGAACTGCAAAGAGAGTGAATAATGGGCTTAACAATAGTCAGGTGGCCACAAACATGACAAAATGACTGCCAAATTGCTTTGTATCTGCTGGATGTGTAAATTAGCAACTGGGTCATTCTATGAAATTGGTGCTCTTTGTGTCCCTCTAATATATTTGCATGTGGACTATATTCAAGTTAAGCATTTATACTTTAAAGGTTTCAATATATGAGTTAGTTTATCTTAATATATGGTGCAAATTAATAATATAATGCCATAATTAAGCAATAAAAAACGTTTGTATAAAATACTAATTTTGACCTGTCCCAGGGCATAGTTGTTCAACTTCTAATAGCCATTAAAGTAGCCGATAAAAAAAGTGTTATGTTAACAAACAAAATGCATTAGTGAACGTTACATTTGTCATTTTCTTTTTGAAAATGTATTTAAAGACTGGCATATTGATATATGGCATGTTCTCCAACTTAAAAGGTGATGGAGGTGTGTTCACAGCTTGTTCTGTTGCCCCTAAGTGGCCAAAAGGTCTATAAAAGCAACTTTAAACAACCTGGACAAGGAAATAACGGTGGTATGGAAACCTGTGACAACAACAGCTATAATCTTATTATATGTTAACTACCTGTTCAGACAGCAGATTCAATGCATTTCCCCTTGAAATGTCCTCTGTGTGTCTGAGGATTCATGTGAGCCCGAGTGAGGATTGTTAACAGGAATGTTATAACTTATATCTTAAAAGGCCATTTATTTATTTATTTATTTATTTACTGTATTGCCCTGCCTGATGTGGCAGTACAACCCAAGCAAAAGGCGACGTTGCCACCCCTTCTGTGCTGAAGCGCAGATGCAGGATCGCTAGCTGTCGGTTACATAGCGGACGACCAGCGGTAGGAGGAGGATGGAGATGCCGGAGAAATAGCTAACGTCTCGGGGAAAAAACGACTCTGGGGGTTCCTCACGAAACATTAACAGCGGCAGACAATGATGTGAGTATTAAAAGGGCGATTTTATCAACTGGGAAATGTAAATTTTGCGTGGTTTTAGTCAATGTTTCGCAGTTAACGTCGACGCCGAGTTGGCCGTTGGCTGGACCGTTGGGCTCGGAGGTAACGTTACTGCATTTGTCGGTATAAATTCGGTGCTTTGTACGCGGTATCCCGATGATTTGGACTATATTAGATGGGGTAATATGTTACGTGAACTGCTGCCCCACATTAATTGATGGTTCATTTCGTGAATATGGAAGAGCTACCTTACAGCCGCTTGTGAACGGTTTGCACTTGCACAATTCTGGCAGGGTCCCATGATATGAAACCGTCGCCCAGCACATAGCCGGGTACCTTGCCCTTGTTTGGTAATATCCAGCGTTTAAACCGTAGTTTGATGCAAAAAAATCTTATTAGCACTCGATTGTTATGACTAACATGGACGGTAAACTATTTACATCATTACGAGTTCTTAATTAACTCACATTAGTTGGCTAACGATGCCGTCGTCCGGAGCTGTATGTTTGGCAAAGGAGCTCACTAGAAAATAGACGGAGCCCATGCAGAGCTCCGTTATGTGGTAGTGCGGCTTTGTTTTCATATTAATCGAGCCAGTATGTTCTGTTATAACAGAGGAGGAAGCTGAAGATGCATGTTAAAGTGGCGTTACAAATTATCTATATCAGCGTTATTGCAGGTAATAGACCTCTTTATATTTTATTCTTATTTTCATATGATGTAAATGCTTGTAGCTGAGAACTGTGCTGTTAGCTAACGCTGGATTTGCCAAATCCCCGACTAAATGCTTTTGTTTTCTAATGTTTGCTTACTTTGATTGAAAATGAATAAGATTATTGTGTCAATAAAATGGTCTAGGCCATTTGCCAAAGAGTAACGTTATTTTTAGGGCTGACTAAGACTAAAGTGATTTTTCTTTATATAAAAGCTGTTTTTCCTGAGTGGCTGTCTTCATACTACCCTGCAAGACTTTAAGGAAATGGCCTGGAGCATCAACAATTGCTGCCACTTATACAATAGCAGTGTCCAAAAGGACAGTACATTGTGGCATTTGTGAAGTTTTAACCGTCAGATTTGTGGTAATTGTGCTTGATAATGAACTAAAACAGTAATCAACATAGAAAATATTTGCAAGAAAAAAAGCATAATATCACAGTAGAGTTAGAATAAAATTCTCTCTGTTTCATATTATTGTAAAGAGAAGATCTTTGGAGTTTGGGTTGTAAGTTCAATAAAAGATGATAATGTCTTCATTATTATTGAAACAAGCATTAGTTGCAGTCCTGTATTTATTTTGGTGCTGGTTATAAAAACAGCCTACTTATCAGTTTGTTCCAGCTGCTGAGCATCTGGTTGTTCTGTCCTGCATCTCTGATTCATATGTGCCGTTTATTTTCTTGTTTTCCAGTGAGATGTTTCAAGCCACAGAGCTGAATACCAAATTGCCTTCTACTATCAAGAGATAGCCAGTGTGCTGAATGGAGACCCAGGAGGAATGACAGAGTCTTTTCCCCCTTGGGTGACGCACCGACAGTTTGAGAAAATGCACTGGGCCGGCGGATACGTTTTTCTGGTCCTGGCATCCCTTATCGCCTCTCGCACCACCGGGGCCTTATCCGTGGACCCAGATAGAAACGGCACGGCAAACAGCAATGTGACTGACGGCGGATTTGTCCCAGTTGTGTTCACAAGAGTGAACCAGATAATTGCCCGGGAGGGTAGTTGCGCACTGATTGATTGCAATGTCACTGGAAACCCACTCCCCAGTGTTCAGTGGTTCAACTCCCATGGAGACCGCTTGGACACGGAGATGAGTGGTGAGACAGATTGTACTTTCCTCTGCTCTTTGTCACCAGCACTAGTTAGCAGCAGATAAATGCAGAAGAGTGTCAGGTTTGTTATTTACTATGAATAAAGCTGCTGAAAGTTAACATATAGACATTTAGGTGAATTCCTTGATTGAGGTCAGTACATGCACGCTAACATGCACACTGCTGGGTTTCCCCTTACGAAATAGTATTGCAGAGGTGGTACGCCACACAAATCCCTTACTTAGAAAATGAGGGCCTAAACAAAACTTATATGAATAATAAATATATGGCATTTGGTGTGTGACACAGCAACTCTGCTCCTTTTCTATCATGTTAGTGGAGGGGGTCTGCTGTAAAACCCCGGTGGAAACTCTGCACTATAACCTGACTACTGTGAATAACCAGATACACTTCCTGATTTTGTTGTTGTGCCCCCGAGTCCAAATGTTTCCTCTCAGCCAGCTCACTGTGGATCAACACAGTTCACATACTGCATTTCAGAGTTTGCTGGGAGGCAATTTTAAGATGCACTATGTAAAAATTGCCACGCATCCATCTTCTCTGCTGTAGTGGCTCGGTGCCTTGCTCAGTGACATGCCTAGGCGTCATAGATAGAGCCAATAGTTTGTGTTGCCATCTTTTTTTTTTATTGAGCACCAAAATGTTAATTGCACAGGACTAGTGTGTCCCAATGGCAGCACTGTCCCTAATGACCGAATTCATATGTTAAAAGTATAGCTACCACAGCATTTAAAGTGTGTCTATATATACATTTTGACCCCATTGGTATTACTGGCACACCTAATGTAGTATTTGATATAGAGATAACATACAAAGGATACTCACACCTCAATACTATTAATAGAATAATTTCCATTTTAGTTACAATGTTATGTATACAACAAGCTGCACCAAACAAGTTTCCCCTGGTGGGGTTAATAAAGTTGTTTGTGTCTCAGGTGTTTTAATGCACATCATCCATTAATGCTGTGTTGTCCCTTAGTTACAAACAAGCACCACTTGTTAAAAGTGTTGTCTGTCTCTTTTAGGAAAAAAGAAGAAATGTTTACAGTCAAAATGTTCAAATGCTTATCGAGAACAGGAAATCACCAAATGTTAGGTGAAACGCCATCTTCTTTTCCAGCTGACCCTCCAGCTTAGAACTGAGTTTATTCCAGAGCATTCGGATGTTGGATTATAAAGGCAGTTAACTCAAGAAAAAAGGGAAGAGTGGAAAGACAAGACAGGAACTGAAGACCTTTTGCACAGTGTTGATTTTAGTCCTGGTTCCAGTCTGATGTCCCGCAGACGTTCCTCTGAATCTTTAACTGAAGTGAAACCTGACTTTTGAACACAAGAACCAGACGGCCTCGAGTTCCTGGGGGACATTTGGCTCAATGGTTGCACATTTTGTCTGGCAGTAGTGATTATTTACTTGCTGTGATGGCTGGCCAGTTGGATTCAGGGACTCATTCAGTCGTTTTTACTAATGATTTTCATTCAGGCCGTCTGTGTTTGAATATTGTGTTTCACTTCAGAAGGCATGCAGAGTGAGGAGTCTTGTTTCTGAGCCGACCTGTTGAAACCTGCCGTCAGGCAGCAGAGGCAGCGTTGTTGTTGTGACCTACAAACCTAGAACAGCGTCTGAACCATCGCAGAGCTTTTCCCTCCGGGTTACACATAGGAATATAATTACGGGAGGGGTAGGCGTTCACCACAGCAGAAAGTGGTTTACTCAGAAATAAAAGGTGAATACATAAAGAGCTGTGTTAGTAACCTACTGGTCTGTTATGCAGGCTGCTTCAGACTTGCTTGTAATACTGGGCAGACGTCAATCGCATCACATGACCCAATGGTGGGGGTAAAATTAGAAATCTTGCTCTCATGGAAAGGCGGATGGGCGGGACGTTGTTTTGTTGTCCGGGCTTCATTTCCTGACCACCCATTGATCTCCTCCAGAGGATACCAGTGTGGGAAGTGGATCGTGCTAGCTCTGTCGAAGGCGTGGACTCAGACTTCAGACCACAGATTTAGAGAGAATATTCTGTGATATCTGTTCGTCTTTACTCCCACACAATAGAGAGTAAAGTGAGGAGTTGAGGAGGAGTTGCAGTTGAATTCACTACACGTCTGCTGCTTGTGGATGACTCGTCCTTGAAGCGCCACTTCAGGACAAAGCACAAACATCACAGTGTGTCAACAGTTTTTATCAGGAGCAGGAAAAAAACAATAATTGTTGACAGTGATGATGAATGTTGATTATAACCTTGACGTCGTTTGCTGTTGTGGTTTTAAAAGGTTCCATCCACCTGCACTTTAATGGGGCTAGAACACCTTGGCAGATAAAACTAAAACAACATGCACTGAATTTATTAAAGGGAGTAGTTTGACATTTTGTTAATTACTCTTATTCGCTTTCTTGCCCGAGAATTAGATGGGAAGATCAATACTGCTCTCATGTCTGTCTGTCAAATATGAAGGTACAGCCATGAGTCCATTAGCTTGACTTAGCATAATGACTGGATACAGGGGTAAACAGCTAGCCTGGCTCTGTCCAAAGGAATTATAGTTTTTTTCACTTAAACAAACTGATTCTGTCACCTCCAGACAGAGCCAGCCTAGATTTTTCTAGTCTTTGTGCTAAGCTAAGCTAAGCTAAGCTAAGCTAAGCTAACTGGCTGTAGCTTAATATTTAACAGACAGACACGAGAGTGGTACTGATCTTATCTAACGCCCCACCAGAAAGCGAATAAGTGCATTTCCCAAAGTGTCGGTCTGTTCCTTTGAACTGAACAACTCACACCACCGTGCAGGTCGATGAGTTTATCAGTCAAAACAAGCTCCTCATCGCCTGGATAAGAACTGATAACCAAAGCAAATAATGAGGGGAAGCTAATTAGACGCCAAACACATGCATTCGGCTATAAAACACATTTGATAGAGACCGTACAGCTACCATCAAAGCCAGACTCACCACATGTCAACTGGCTGGCGTTGCTGATGATGGCTAGTCACTACAAGTGACATTTTATTTAAAATATTTTCCAAATTTCTGGTTATTAATGGACAGATGTGTGTGAGTTAACTCACTTTAATACAGCCTTGGTCTGAAGGTTATTGTGTGCTTGTGTAAGCCCACAAGCTTCGGTTGTTTAGGTCATGCAGCCGGTTCCCAAAGTAATGCAAAATCATTTGTTTTGCATGAAAACGCAGAGTTCGAAACGCAGGGGGACTTTGGAAGATGCTAAAGTAATATTTTGGAATAAATTGGTGCCTGTGACTAAACCTCTCCCTAAGGCAAGTCCTAATGGCCACGTGACTTGTACTTAGGGTGAATAGGCCCTTAGAGCATCTCACTCTGCAGATTTAGCTCCAGTCCTAAAAAAATCAAACGTTTGATTAAATTGTAACACTGGAATACTACTTTCATTTTTGTCATTGGGAGAACCGGCCCTTTAATAATGTTTTAACGCTCGTGTAACTTCATTCCAACATGTAAACAGATCCTTGTTGTTTTGATTACTCAAACCTCAGCAGCGCGTCAAGCAGTCACACCACCTGTTTAAATATTGAAGGCATGGCAGGAATAATAAGGTCGCTGCTGTTGAACTCACAAAACACAGATGAAAACCATGTTCCTTTTAAACCAGTGTACGCCACTAACATGGCACATACTGAACAATTAGTGGCTGAGATAAACACAGATGCAGGCTCAGACGTGAGCTCAGTGCACGCTGCAGCTGTAAGGACTTCACATACATTATTAACAAATAGCTGCTGGGCTTAAAGCCACTTTTTTTATTATTGGTTTATAAATATGTGCCAAACAAATTTGTTCTCTAGAGCTGTCAGATAAAAACAGATTAAACCGCGCAGAAGAAAAACGTAAGCAAATCTGAGTAAGCAAGTTCCTCTTAGAAAGCAGCAGAGTTTACTGTGGATTCACAGAAGCAGAGAAACGGATGCATTAAGAGGATTTTCAGAGTTTAAAGTTTGGCCTCGGATGAGTTAGTGGGCTATGTAGTGTCAGTCAATGTTGTGTTTTTAAAAGCAGATCCAAGACAAGATAAGCAGACAAGTCGTAGTATTTGTACTGCTTGATCATAAAGATTTTGAGAACTTGAGCAACAGTAACTGATTTAATCTGCAGTTCGTAGCTTTGGATGTTAGGATAACTTTATATTCACCAATGTAAGGGCTCGGGATGTGGAACAGTCGGAAACATCATACAGGTTGTAAACACGTCTCCAAATCTCTCTCTGTCTCCGTCTGTAGGTGGGAAGTGGTGGCTGCTGGACGATGGCGTGCTCAACATCACCAGCATCGAGTTTGCAGACCGTGGGAAGTACACCTGCATGGCGTCCAACGTGCATGGCAGCTCCAACTGCACAGTGACGCTGCGTGTGGTCTTCACTAACGGTGACATGGGCGTGTATTACATGGTGGTGTGTCTGGTCACCTTCACCATCATCATGGCCCTGAACGTCACGCGCCTCTGCATGATGAGCAGCCACCTGAAGAAGACAGAGAAAGCCATCAACGAATTCTTCCGCACGGAGGGCGCCGAGAAGCTGCAGAAGGCCTTCGAGATCGCCAAGCGAATTCCCATCATCACCTCGGCCAAGACGCTGGAGCTGGCCAAGGTGACGCAGTTCAAGACCATGGAGTTTGCGCGGTACATCGAGGAGCTGGCTCGCAGCATTCCGCTGCCGCCGCTCATCATGAACTGCCGCACCTTCATGGAGGAGATCCTGGAGGTGGTGGGGGTGGAGGAGATGAGGCACACCTTCGTGCGAGCGCCAGAGGGATGCCGCGAGATAGCCGGCAGGGTCGCCTCCATCGGGGTGAGAGACATCTTCACCATCCTGCAGGAGAGGGAGAGAGGGCGAGAGAGGGAGCGCAGCGATTCCCCCGCCGCCGACTCAGACAACTCCTCAGTTCAAGAGCAGCCGCAGCACATCGCCATCCAGGTGTCTGTCCACCCGCAGCTCGCCATCGAAGGTTATTGCAGCATCGAAGCTCCACCTCAGCCAGAGGCCACACCCCCCTCGCCTCCCCCATCCTCCCCACCACCGCCCTCTCCCCTTCCCCAGGAGGAGCAGCCTGAGGCGGAGGGAGAGGAAGACACCGACCAGGCTGCACCCGAACCGACACCCGCAAATAACACCCCTCCCTGCCAGGTGTTTTACGAGAGCCACGTGTGACGAAACAAACAAACCCTGGAGGAGCGACGAGTTAACCTGCTATGCATTTCAACTTGAAGACAAAACAAAAGGTCAACAAAATATTTTTAATTTCCCATTTTGGAAAGACACAATCACATGGTTTATTTATCTTTTTCTGAACGGAACAATCTCTCTAAACCTTCGTAGGCTTCTCTTCTGAGAATAAAATCACAAGGTTTTTAGACAAGCGTTTTTTGTTCTCACTGGACTTTCATGCTTGAATGTACACGGGAGGGGTAATCAATATTATTATTAATGTAACAAGCAGTAATTGTAAAGGGACATTTCCTGTGTTGAGATTTTGATAGCTCAGACTTTTATTTAAAGAATTAGAGTACTTCACCCCTGGAGGGAGAATGATTCCTGAGTTTTTAGTTTCTTACCATGCTCGGGTTTTACGCCTAACTCCAGAAATCTGCCTCAAGCTGCTCTTCATGCAGTTTTATTCAAACCATGAAAGCTTCATCCTCTCAAGAATTCACATCCAGCTACTGTTGCAGTCGATCTGCTGTTGTTGTGTACCGTTCTGCTCACCTAGAGATGCATGCTGGACGGAAAAGAGTGGCCACATCATGATTGTACGGCCGACTGTATATCTAAAAAAAAACAAAAAAGAAGTAAGCCAGCTAAATCTGTGTGTACAGTATATTTCCTGATTAGGTCACACACACCTCTGGGGAGAGTTTATATCCGTTTCCTTTTTAATTATTTGAGTATTATTGTGGTGTGATTTTCTGTGCTAGTTTTAAGCAGTTTTTAAATAAAGTCTTATTTCTCCTCCGTAGAGAACAGTAGCTTATTTTTCCTCCGTCATGTGCTGTTTTTAGGGTTTTTGATTTTAACTCCTGACCTGATCTCGGCATCGTCTCGCTTCTGCAAAGGCTTTAAAGTACAGCTGCATTTCTGCTGCATGTGAAAAAAAGTGGACAGGGGAGATGTTTGACGTCTTTCTCTGGGATTCTCTTCTTCCTTCCTTCGCTTGACTAATGGTCCAGTCTGTGGCGGAGAGATGAACTGGATGCTGTTATGCTTTTACCCGGTGCTCCTGAGATGACACTTTTGTTTCTATTTTTTTTGTAGTGGAATAAAATGGAAGTGCTGTGTATAAAAAAAGAAAACATGGTTTCCACAGTTTGGTCAGTTGTGTCTCTCTCTCTCTCTCTCTCACACACACACACACACACACAGTCAGAAATGTTTGCTGTACCCACAGTAATTTAAAGGTCTTATTTGTAGTTATTAACAGCAGTAGTAGCACCCAGACAGAAACACTGCTACATCTAATATTACTTCCCGTCTCATCCTTCTGTATGAGAGTTTGTTTTGGGACAATTTAACCACCTTTTCCTTCCGGTTACCCAAAACTGAACTACAGCATATGTTGTTTAAATCAGAGGTTTTCAAAGTGGGGGATTGGAGGGGGGCAGGCTTCGTGAGGTAAAGGGCAATTCATGTACTTTCAAACCCTTTTGCGTCTTTTAAAACCACAATTTGCGTCAAAGCTCTTTCTCTGTGTCATAACTCAGTCATATCTGGCTACAGTATGTCATTATCATTTTGTATGTTCGCATCACCGCTCAGAAATCAGAGGGTAAGAAGACCCCAGAACATGCCTGGGAAACATCACCTTTTTAAGTTTTGTTCAATCCCAAAGTAATTCAGTAACAGTCATGTGTACATCCATGAGTAAAATGTTAACAAATATATAAAATACATTAGCCCTAAGCTATCTTACTGACTCTAACGGAAACATGGCCTTGGATTGTTACAAGCACGTCTCTGCTGATGTGACACAAACGTGATGGAGGGAAAAGGTCTGCTGACAGAGCTGGAAGCCTTCAGGATTTAGAAAATAGTGAAACGGACAGAAATCTGTCTGACAAGTGTCCTAAAAATGTTTAATCTCCCTGAGTACATGCAGGGAAAACGGAGCGCCTGCTTAGAGTCTTGTTGCCTCCGGATCCCAGATTCATTTGGCACAGCTGTGATATAAAGTGTGCACTAATGATTTAGATGACGCTACATACCGGTACAAAAAAATACAATATGTGAAATTGCAATATTTGAATGTAGTATACATACTGTAAATGTACTGGCTACTGAGTTGGGGTAATAATACAGTATAAATGGTAAATTACAAGTAATTACTGTGATTAGTGTGCAGCACTATACTGTACACTATACTGCAATAAAATAGTGTTTTACAGTAATTGTATGATTGGTTAGAAACACAGTATATTACTGTTATAATACTGTAAATTCTGAGTTTACAGAAACTATGATGATTATTGCAATATCATATTGTCGTTTTTATAGTATTGCTGTAATAATACTGTAAATTGTTACACAATATAATATCATATTGTAATTTTACAGTACTATTGTGTGTGGAAACTGTAGAAACACTATTACTGTTATTTTCATCTACTTTACTGTAAAATAATGAACTGTATATATTACTGTGATTTTCCTGCAATTAAAAACCAGTAATTTACTGTAAAATTACACTAATATATTTTATAGTGTACTTTAAAAAGCTTTTCTTTAACTCTGCCAACAAATACCTAAAGATGTGTGAAATATATTTGGGTTCGGTGTGGAAATCTGGTTTGTCTTCTCTAAAGGCAGAAGCAGAGGAGGCTGATGCCAACAGTCTCAGGTTGGTGACTGACAGAGACCTGAATAATAGATGTTCTGTAACAGGACACGAGGGTGCAGTCCCACTCTCTCAGTCGCTGTCATGTCTCTGAGCTAATATCAAATTCAGAAAACGACAGGGACTTTTTATTTATTTACAAAGGCTGGTCTGAGAATCCCCCCATCACCTCCCCCCAAACTCAAAACTAATCCTAATCCACTCCCACCCCGGGGCGCCAACAGTAAAGCCACTGATGAAGCTGCACTGTTGAGCTATTACAAGTCTGTAAACCAGAACAAGACCACATAGTGTGCGCTGTATTTATTAGGAGGGAAAGTGGACAAAATAATAGAAACACCTTACTCGACAGAAGCCCTGCAGTAAAGCTCAGAGTGAATGCCAACCCAAGCAATGTTTTAAGATTGTAATATATCTTATATAGTAATATATATCATTACAACCCCATTAGCACAGCTGCTGGTGGCTGCAATTGAAACTATTCTTCCTTTTGAAGCAGGATGTTAGTGCAGCACACAACACAATGTGGAATCATTTTAACCTGTAATCCAACAGTTACAGAAGATAAAGGCTTTCTGATTTGCAAGAGATGTGGGATTATTATTGGGTAGACTTTTGTTACCCCTTAATTGTGCGGGATGAGGTCACCATTAAAGGGGCACTCCAGTGATATAGTATTGTATATTTCATTAAGTTGGGGGACACACGAGAGGCAGATTAGAAAAACATAAATGGACTGTACTTGCATAGCGCCTTTCTAGTCTTCCAACCACTCAAAGCTCTTTAGGCTGCCATGCAAGCTGCCAACTGCTCATCAACTGAAAGAAACTAATACATTCACACACAAGGGAGCAATTTGGGGTTCAGTGTCTTGCCCAAGGACACTGACTTGCAGACTGTGGGCAATGTGCTCTAGCCGCCCAGAACCAGTTTTCCTGACTACATTCTCTAAAACAAAACTCTCTCGCTCTCTAAAAAAATAGGTAATCTTTAGAAAGCTCCCTCCAGAGCAACAGAAGTAACCATGACGGCTAAACTGATCTTCATCTTCACATTAAACAATAAGCGAAGTAACACAGACTCTTTAAAAGTTTCAGCATCAAGCCTCAATATTTTTTTTGTTTTTACACTAAGGATCAAAATAGTCATGTTTACCTATTCTTGTGTTTAAAGGTTTCCGGATTTTAATTATAATTTATTATAATTTCTGACGGCAAAGTTTTAAACCTGCAGTAGGATATGGAACTTTTCTCTCCCCTTTTGGCACTGACAGTAATTACACAAACACTGCGCACTTGAAGTACGCTTTACCTACAGATGACGATGTTTATATTATTTTTTAGTATGGCGAGGTTATGACCCGCTCTACTCTTCCTCCGATTGGCTTAATTACCTTAACCCAGAGCCCGAGCAGCCAATCAGAGGCAGAGGAGGGCGGGCCATGCATTCTCATTCTAGGGGAATCATATTGCCCTACAGGTGAGTTTTTAGCTTATATGTTGAGCTTGTCATTTCATACAGTTAACAAGAAGAAGCAAGTGATCTTTGAGTGAAATTTGTGTTGACAAAAGAAACAAAAACATGTTTCTACTCTTTAAAGTCAGTAATAACAAAGTGTGCTTGAGGTATTGTTATGGGAACAGGGATATCTTGCTGTACTGAAACTAAAAATACCCTAAAAACTATATATAAAATATATATATATATACACACACACACACACACACACATATACACACACACTCACTTTATAAAGTCCAGAGATGTGTAGAGGGGGGGAAAAAAACCCAAAAAACAATCACCCAAGTCTGCCCTGCAACGTTTTCTCCTTTTAATTTAAAACAAAATTTAATCTTTACATATTTTGTTTTAAATTTACAATCAAACAATCAATGTAATCACACATAAAAGTCTCCATAATAATGCACAACTATATCGACACTACCCATAAATTGAAAAATAAACAAAAAAAAAAAAAAAAAAAAAAAAAAGGGGGGGGAACAAACATCAGATCAGTATGAAACACAATGTTAGGCAACACACCACTGGTTAATTAGGGTGACCTGCTCCGTGTCCACCCACAGCAGGACGGTCACTGCAACGAAACAAAGTACACAGGATGAACTGACCTTCTCCTCTCACGCTCGCGCATGCACTCTACAGGGTCTACTGTGTGTCCGCGCGTCACCATCTCTTCATTGTTTGCACGTTATGTTCAGAGGTTAGTGGGAGTAGGAGTTAATTTAGTGGTTGTGAAAACCTTAGCCAGGCGCGTGTAGCAAGACTCGAACCTTGTGTGTTTGTTTTACATCGATCCCATTGGTCCTTGAGTGTCGCGAGATGATTGACAGGAAATGTAACATAACAAAATACATTTTTAAAGTTTTTTCAAGCTTATCCTTAAAAACAGCAGCTGGCAAAACAAAACAAAAAATCTCGACCCACTTGCTGCCGACTCCAGGACCATCAAACATTATTATCAGCACTCACTGAAATATCCATGCGGTAGATTATTTTATCAACTATATTAATGTTTTTTATTAAAAACATAGGTGTAAAACATCACTCTTTGTTTTTAAACTGTTCACAACTCATTTCAAACCTCCCCTGAGGGGCTGAAAGCTTTCTTTAAAGGTGTCACAAGTTAAAAAAATAAAAATGATCTACCATATCTGTGCTGGAGGTACCAAGTTTGGAAGAAAAGTTAAAAATATTCACTTGTTCCAGCTACTAAAATGTGAGTGTTTACAGCTTTAGTGTGGTTTATATCATTATGGCTCGAAACCGTTTGTTTTAGACCACAAATCAAGCAATTAGAGGCGTATATTTGGGCTATTTTAACGAACTTGAGCTTGAATAATTGAAAACAATAATCAAATTGTTGTAACTTTTTAAACCTCAGTGTGTTTTTGTTGGAACATTTATTGATCTTCTGTACTGGTTTTGTTTGTCCTGTATTTTGTCATTTTATAGCATGTTGCAATCAATTTACAATTCAACATTAACTATCTGAACTGTCTCGTGCCTCTGCTTCCCACCCATCTGGCACATAATGGAGAATGAATCAAACACCATCAACTGTCAAAACTGGAAATGCTATTTAATCAAAGTGTGCTGTGGACAGCAAGTGCCAGAGAGTTAAAATCTCTCTTCACATTTTAAAGTCTTTGCCAGGGTGGAAACCTAGGTTGGTGTTGTGTACATGAGGTTCATGCTTCTAAAGATGGAGTGTCTCTAGAGAGAAGACGACGGGCCGCCCTTTTAAATAAACTAAAGAAGAAGAATATCACGTGACAAATACCAGGTCCTGTATGAAAATGTAAGACATTGTTTCCCAAAGACATGGACAGACAGAAAGCAATTAGTTGCATCGTCGTCATTCTTCTTCTTCCTCCACTTTAACGATCACTTAAAACAGTGCACATTTCCAGCTTTGTTTTTGCTTCAGGCAGTAAAAAGTTAATTGATTACAGCA